TTACATCCCTCTCGTGATGGGGAGCTCACCACTTCATGGACAGCTGATTACATCACTGGGTAGTCCTCTCTGGGACATGCCCCTCCTCAAGTGACCCCTGCTTCCCCGTCCTGGCTCTGCCCTCTGTGCTGCTGACTCATCAGCCAGCTCTGCCCCAGGGCAGCCCTACAGAGATCGGCAAACAATGACTGGGGACCTGGAGGCTACTCTATTCCAGGCTGACGCACCCTGCCCTTTCTGGTATTAAGTCTTCCTATCCTTCTTGGCCCTGCTGGGGGGCTTGAGTGCCAGCCCCTCTTCCTCAATTGTCAGGGACACACAGTGTGAATCCAGAGAGACACAGGCCTGAGTCTTGGTTAAGCCAAGAAATGAAACCCACGTCACTTGGTGGGGCTTGCACGAGCCCCACCACCACCAGCACTGGGCCCACTCGCTGTGCACTGTGGGCAGGGACTTCCCTTCTCTGAGCCTGGCTCAGTTTCCCCTCAGTGAAATGGGAACCATGGTCCCTCCTGAAGAGGCTCCCTGAGAGGAGGGGGTGGGTACTTGGGGGCTGAGGTGCACCTCTGTTGCAGGACAGCCCAGAGGCACTGCTGTGTGTCCTACTTAAAGGAGAAGAGCTGTGTGGCTGGTGTCCTGGGGGCCAAGGAGGGCGAGGCCTGTGGGGATGAGGACGACGACACCTGTGGCGTCTCTCTGTACAAGGCAAGCCCGACCTGCGGTATTCTGGCCTGGAACTGGGACTGGGACAGGCTGGCTCAAGCCTGAAGGCCCTCAAGGCCTGGGGACTAGGCTGTCTGCAGAGAGTGACAGGGGAGGGGGATTCTTCATCTGCACAGAAAAGGTTGTGTGTTCTTATACTGACTGGTCAGCTCATAGAATGTGCATTGACTGCCAGTGTGTGCCGGCCGTGTCTTAGGCATTAGGGACACAGTGATGATAATGCACTGGCAATCCCTGCTGTCAAGGGGCTTTCCTTGTAGTCAAGGGAACAGACGTAGATCGGGGTGAATACACTGATGGGTGGTGTGGAAGGCGATCATGCCATGGAGGAAAATCTAAAGACAGGTGAGGGGGAGGGGATGCTCAGTGTCAGAGCTGGGAGAGGCTGGAGTTTCAGCTGACTGGGTGGGGGCAGCCTCACTGAGAAGGGGACATTTGTGTAAAATCCTGGAGGAGGAGACGGGTGGGCCGTGTGGACGTCTCTGGGAATGCTCTCCAGGCAGAGGGAATGGCGAGTGCAGAGGTCCTGAATTAGGAATGTGTGTAGCCTGTCCCAGCGTGACGCGGAGGCTTGTGTGGCTGGAGTGGAGCCAGCGAGGGGGTGTAGCCGGAGTCGAGGCCAGACAGGTGATAGGGCAGATCCTGCTGTCACTGGAAAGACGGTGGTTTCACTCCAAGTGAAGTGGAAACCGTGGAGAGTCTTGAGGAACGTAATCTGGGTCCCTCTGGTGGTTGCAGGGACCAGTTGTTGAAGATGGTTTTCCCACGGGGTCAGCAGGATCGGGACTGGGTAAAACCCTGCCAGGCAGCAGGGGGCAGGGAGCGGGTGGGGGCTGCAGGCAGGGGGAGCCGCATGAGCTGACGCATGGGTGGGTCGGCGTGGGGTCGGGCTGTGCCATCCAGTGGGTCTGACAGCAGGAGGGGCAGGCCACCAGAAGTCCTCAGGCTGGAACCTGAAGGATGATAAAAGCTGTGCTGAGACTTTGGGCTTCAAGTGGAGGGTCCTTGGGGCACTGAGAGGGATTTACAGGAGGAGATTGGTCTTGTGCTGCAGCTCACGCTGGCCTCTGAGTGGCAGGGCTGGGCCAGGAGGGCAGTTGGGCCACCCGTGATGCAAAACTCCCGAGAACACTGATTTTTCTCTCATTTGCTGGAGGCTGGAGGTAGGTAGGCCTGCCAGGACACAGGCTCCTGCTGTCTCGTGGCTCCACCAACTTTAATTTGCTGCCTCGTGGTCCAAGTTGGCCACTTGAGCTCCAGGCAGAGGCAGGAGGAAAGGGGAGAAGAGTCCCCTTCTTTTAAAGTATTTTGTATTGTGGTAAAATGCACATGACGTAACACTGACCATCTTAACCATTTTTGAGAGCACAGTCCATTGGCATCAAGTACAGTCACATCGTTGTGCAACTGTCGCCCCCATCCAGCTCAGAACGCTGTCCTCCCCCAGACTGAGACTCTGCGCCCGTTACACGCTAACTCCCCATTCCAGCCCCTGGCAGCCACCATTCTCCTGTTTCTATGAATTTGACTACTCTAGGGACCTCTTCTAAGGGAACTCAGGTAGCATTTGTCCTTTTGTGACTGGCTTATTTCCAGGGTTCATCAGTGTGTGTCAGAATGTCCTGCCTTGTTAAGGCTGAATGCCATTCTGTTGCATGTGTAGACCGCATTTTGTTTATCCACTCGTCTGTTGGTGGACACTTGGGTCGGAAGAGTGCTGCTGTGAGCATGGGCATAAGAAGAGCTCCTTTTTCGAGGGCAGACAGCACTTCTGTTTAGGTCTCGCTGCTGGAACTTAATCCAATGGCCACACCTAGCTGCAAGAGAGGTGGGAAATGTAGTCTTTATTCTGGGGCACTCGGGCCCCCCACTGAAGATGAGGACGAAGGGAAAACAGACATGGGGGTGATAGCTGGCTCTGCAGCAGAGGGTGGGGGCAAACGAGGGCAGGGGATGGTTTCAGGAAACATTGTAAAAGGGGCAGAGGAGGACAGCGGGTTGAGGATGCCCACTGTGTGTCAAGTCTGGGTGATGGTGACAGAGGTCTCTGGAGGAGGGAAGCATTTGGGAAAGGATTTTGACTTCGAGTTTTGTCATGTTGAGGTCAATTTTTCCTAAAACAACTAATTATTAGCGAAAGGACCTGTTGACAGGTCAGTTTAGAGTCCCCTTTCTGTCTTTATGTTTATACTGGACCAGTTCCCTTTTCTGAGCCTCAGATTCTCCATCTATAAAATGGGGATAATAATCTGTGTCTTATGGGGTGCTTTTGTGGATCACAGATCATGCAAACTAAGTAATTTTTAAGTAGGTGGTGGGCCTTTAGCACGTGCATTGGGAGATGCCAGTCTAGAGCTTTGGTCAGCTATTGCTGTGTAACAAACCATCCAAAACTTAGTGGCCCATGACTTTCTCATTGCGTGAGCCTGCAGTCAGCTGAGTACTTCAGCTGACCTGGCTGGGATTGCTTATGTGGCTGTCACCAGCTGAAGGCACTGTTGGGGCCAGATGATCTAGTATGGCCTCAGCTGGGATGTCTCACCTCTACTCTATGCAGTCTCTCAATCCCCAGCAGGCTCATGTGGGCTTGTTCAGTTAGTGACTGAGCAGGGTTCCAAGAAAGAGAATAGAAGCTGGCAAGTTTTGAGGCCTAGGCTCAAAACTGGCACACTGTCACTTCTATCTTATCCTATTGGCCAGAGCAAGTCATAGACACAACTAAGAGTTTGGGAAATGCACTTGCTGTCTTGTCTTGAGGAGCTGCAGG